TCCAAGTTAATAAATAAAACCAACAGTGTAAGAAACAAACAGAACAATAAATAGGACACACTGATAATAAAATCTTTTTTGTTTGCACAGAATGGGCGTTGAATCTGATAATCAAAGGAATCGACTGTTACCCTATTGTTGCGCCCAATTAATTCGTCCTGCATACCACTTCAATAATTATTTCCTTTGCCAATACTGCTACAACATTTTGGATTCAAATCGTCAAGACCTGTACGAGATTCAGCCAATTCACTTCCTGTGCGGGGTTCCAGGGCGAATTAGAGCAATGCACTGCTACCTATGTGATGTATACTTGTCAGAACTACAACCTGCGGCATCCTGTCCCGAATGTACAGACACTTGCATTAATTTAACCCAGACCGAAAGAAACCTCTTAACCCAAGGAAAAATAACTCGCCCCGTCACTCGCTAATTAACCACACATATACACACAGTGAAACAGTTACATACTATTAACAACTTAACCACAAAGATATATACATATATATACTAATGGACACTAGAGTGTAAGAACACATTGAATAAATTGTTGACAGGAAAATGAGTTACTTGGTCATCTTATTCAATCTCTACGGAACAACACTCGGCCTAATAGAATAGGACTACGACTTGGAGTTCTTCAGGCCCAAGTGCGCACCGAATGGGCGACACAGGTCTGGAATTTCATTAACGTTGTTACTGTAAAATTTCCAACGGCTTCTGTCCCGTGGTCCGCTACAGAAAGATCCTATCCTTCGGACAGGATGATTGCCAATGTCGGCACATCCTCACGGAATATTTTCAGCTAGCCCAAGGATCCGCTATAAATCTTACGATTTGTTTAGCTAAGATTCTCCAAAGGAACAAATAGTCTTTGTCCTTCACATACCACGGAAAATACGGGAAGTCTGTTTTCCGCACGTACGATGCTCCCAGCTAGCAACTTTCTCTCAAGGGCGGTCAGCACCCTTCTCCAACCACCAAACAGAAATTAACCAATTAACGGCAACACCCACTTCCCTCACTTTCCGAACCAAGGCACTTCTCCACGAATCCTATGATCTGGTAATCCTGAGACACACCCCAGGAGAGTTTCCCTCTGCAGCATCATCGTGAGGGAGAGTCAGTTAATAATCGGTTAGAGTCCCGCTACGCATCGTGAGCAATCATCGTCTGAACCGACACCGCACGTCGACCAGAATCGAACTATTAGCCGCGAATCACGAACCGATAATTGTAACCACGCGTCGTACACCAAGTGTACACATCGAATATAAGTGTGAATAAATATCTTGGTTGTTAAACATATTCGGGTGTTCCTTCAGTACCTGTCACGACCTACCCACCTCATTACTAAAACACGAAACTTTGAGTTAATTTCTATTTATGGGTTAGATGCAACGATTAGGAGTTCTTCAGATGCAAGTGCGCACCGAAAGGGCGACACAGGTCTGGAATTTCATTGACGTTATCATTAAACACGTTTTGGGTAATTTCGATCAGTTGACAGACGTAACAGCACCCATAATACACCAGCATTCTTAATATAAAGACAAAAAAAATTTTTTCGAAATAGTCCTTAGACTATCTCTGGTGGCAGCAACTATCGTACCGATCGGAAATCTTAAATTTATATTTCGAATACTATCATTCCTTTCCTTTCAGTTAAATTTAACGACAATCAAAATGAAAACGAAATTAAAAATCAAATTGAAAACGTAACAGAAAAAATTTTTGGTGGCAGCGGTGGGATGCACTCCACGGAGGATTAAATTTTCATTGGTATTGACAGAAAATGTATATATATATAAATTCAAAAAACATGGCTGTCGCACAAGACTCATTGAAAGAGGACACGCTTTTAGCGTTGTCAGAAAAATTAAAAGCATGGAATGAAAATTTACGCGTATTAACCGACATGAGAGTAAGATTAGATAAATTAAAAGAAGACGTGCGTCTAAATAGAAAATCGGAAAAAACCGAAATACCAGCATCAACGTCAATAATTCCGCGAGAAATAAGACCAGTATATACTAACTCGCAACCGATTAAGTTAAAAGACGCGATCGAGACAGTGCCAGTGTTCGATGGCCATCGACCGTCGATATTTCAATTTTTAAGGGCATGCAAACGAGCCCGAGGTATGATGCCAAGAAATCAAGAACCTCAATTAGTGAAATTATTGATGAATGAACTTCGCGGATACGCGTTTCTCGCCGTAGAAGACAGTGAAGTGTTGAAGGCTGAGTGACTTCGAAAATAAATTAAGAAATATGTTCGGTCCAGGAAAAACAGTTAACGAGTATAAAGACGAATTAGCAGCAGTGTTTCAACAACCGGGAGAAGACATACTAGACTATATGGATCGCGTCATAGATCTCAGACTGGCGATAATGGACGGGGAAAGATACGAGTACGGCACCGTATTCCAAGATAGAATAGATCGAGACACGAGGGAGGCTTTCGTTAGGGGGCTCCCAAACGAGGTGTATTTACGAGTAAAGATAGCAGGATACCAATCCTTGGACGATGCGTACCGCCAAGCCGTGAGAGCA